TAGATACAGAGAAAAACCCAACAATCATATGACCCCCTATGAGCAGCACTTTGGCGACAGTGGGAAGGAAAAACTCCCTTTTAACAGGAAGAAACCTCTGGCAGAACCAGGCTCAGGGAGGGGCGGGGCCATCTGCTGCGACCGGACTACATGATTCAGATCCCAAACACCACACTGTTTGTTAACGCTCTGAAGCCTGAACCATGAAATAACAGACAGAAAAAAAATTGAATTAATTAAAATCTAATTTTCATATAAACCCTTAATTTTGATTGAATTTGCTACATCTGGCAAAAATGTGTTGTGCAATTTATTTACTTTCTTCAGGGGAAAATAAATAAATAAATCACACTGATTATGTACAAGAACTGTATTTGTTAAATATGATACACCAGGCACCAAGTAAGTACCACAGTAACACAGTAAACTCCTGACTAATTAAAAAAAATAAGTTGAGAAATTTAAGGCAGCTTTCAAATGAACATCCATGTTTTTTCTGGGTTAAGATCAACTTTGATTTTTTGCTTTTGGACTTAGTTTCATTATTTTTACTGGCTTTTTTAGTTTGAAATGCCATTTGATGAAATGATCACAGTTTGGGTTGAGACGACCTTTGCTCAGGCCTCAGCATCTGTTAGACGTGTTCGAAAGGCTTTCTGCTAGAAAACGCCAAAGAAAATAGAGCCAGTGGAACCAGTGGAACCAGTGACAAACTAAAAACCTGGAACAAATGCTGCTTCTGAATTTTGCACCAATATTAGAGCTCTTCCAACACTACAAAATGCACCTTTCTCTCCATTGGATGTGCCAGTTCATGGCTCTGACCCAGTATCTGTGTGGGGTCACCAGTTTACTGTGTAAAGCTTTGTCTCATTTAACTTAAATCTCTGCATTCATGACCTATGTTTCCAGCTGTCGTCACCCAAAGTGCTGAGAGCAGAAAAGCCAGTACATCTAGCCTTTACCCTCACAGGGCAAAGGTGGCATCGCCTTTAGGCCCAGCTGTGTGTGTGACCTGCTGCTTTGTTAGAGCTCCACACCTCTGAGTATGGTAGGCCAGTTTTTTCTCTTTTCCAGCAAAAACACTTTCAAGAGAGCACAACTGTATCACGCGTACACTCCTTCAGTAACCGTCACTGCAGAAGCTTCCACATAATACATAAAATGTTGCAACAGCTTGAAAAGACGCGACTCTTGATAGAACAATGAAAACAGCTCTGAATGGACACATTTGACAATCAGCCTCTCCAAAGCTGCAGTTCAGGAACGACCTGGTGCAAACCTGACACATGTTCAGAGCACACATAAAAACCCCTTCATGGTTTAGAGGTTCAGGGTCTTACAACAATAGTGCATTACCCACAGACAAACCCTGGCAGCTGAGTGCTGCTTGTTAAATGTACCTTGTTTCTGAAATAAACTTCGATGGGCAAGATGAAGCCTGCGTATCCAGATTCCTCCACTTTGTACGGTGGATCCTTGCACACTGAAAGAGAAAACTGCTGTTAGACTTCAGGAGGCTGACAGTTCACAAAGCTTGCTTTAAATTCATGCAGTTACATGAAATGCAGAGCAGCGCTGAGTGTGCTGCAGCCATCTGGTTGGGTTGCTGGGAGACGGCCGCTCTGACAAACACAAAAAACCCAACCATTACATAAATCACATCCCCTCCACACCTGAACTAGGTGACAGGACTGTATTAAGACTGTTGCTTCATTTATTGTGTCATTAAACACACTAATCCTGCAGCTGTGTTCTCATGAGACCTCATTAACTCAATTTCTGCAGCCTACTCTGATGCATCG